GCCCCGCTCGTCCCCTTCACCCCCCGCACAAAGAGCCACACGACAGGGGAAAAATCAGCGCTTTTATAGCCCCAGGCATCCCCCGGGCGCAGGGAGTGGGTTGGGGTACAGTGGGGGGGCGGGGGGAAATGGACACGGGGCAGCACCCGACAACAGCAGAGGATCCTCGGACCGAGGAGGGGCTACAGGGGAAGTGTTGGGGGGTGCTGGAATCTGCTTTGGGTCAGGTCTGGACTTTGGGCTTGACTTTGGCCTGGATTTAGGGCCTGGGGACCTACATCGTGCTGCATCTTGGATGCTGGGCTCTGCTTTGGGTCAGGTTTGGACGTTAGGATCTGCTTTGGGCTGGATTTAGGGCCTGGGGACCCGCATCATGCTGCATCTTGGATGTTGGGCTCCACTTTGGGTCAGGTCTGGACACTGGGATCTGCTTTGGGCTGGATTTAGGGCCTGGGGACCCGCATCATGCTGCATCTTGGATGTTGGGTTCTGCTTTGGGTCAGGTTTGGACATTAGGCTCTGCTTTGGGCTGGATTTAGGGTGTGGGGACCCATTTCATGTTGGATCTTGGATGTTGGGCTTGGCTTTGGGTCAGGTCTGGACATCGGGATTTGGGACACCAGGATCCACTCTGCATCAAATCCAGGACATTGGGATCTGCTTTGTGTTGGGTTTGGGGCTCTGCATCCTAGTGTGTCAGACCCGGGTGGGGACGGGGGCCGTCCCCCGGGCGGAGCAGCCCTGAACACATTGGGGCAGCACACCAGTCTGTCTGTCCATCACAACTCCGTGTGGTACTGCTCCGCTTTGAAGACCTCACTAGGCTGCATGAAGATGCCCTCCATCACCTTCCAGTAGTTATTCTGGCTGGAGGCAGCCATGCCGTGCACCTCCTTCTGCCCGTGGATGGGCCGCCCGTACTGCTCCCCCGTCACCGAGAGGAAGACGTCGGTGGAGGCATGCTGGAAGCGCACCTCCTCGTCCCGTGCCCAGTAGGTCCCACTGCACACCACTGTCCAGTCATCCAGGTAGTCGCCCTCGCCGGCCTCCCCAAATGCGCTCACCTCCTGGGGGTGAAAAAGAGCTCGTTTGGGAGCTGGGATGTAGGGGGGGTGGGGGGTGTGCTCAGGGGTGCTGAGTTGGGCCCAGAGGGAAAGGGGCAGAGAAAAGGGCTGGGGGACAAGGTGGGGGACCTGGCTGGGATTGGGGCTCTCTTGGGACTTGGAGGGTCCGGTTGGGACTGGGGCGCTGTGGGAAAGGGGACAGGCCTCAGGAAGGGGTAAGGGGGAACTGGTAGGGGCAGGGAGAACCCAGTAGGGTCTGGGGAAGGAGATGGGGCTGGTAGGGACACGGGGGACAAGGGGGACCTGGTCTGAACTGGGAACGAGATGGGGCTGGCAGGGACATGAGGGACCCGGCAGGGCCCGGGGCCGGTTGTGCCCGGGGAAAGCATCCGGTCCTGGGGGAAAAGGAGGGGGGGATCCCCGGTCCCGGGAGTCCCGCCCTCCCGGCGGGTACCTGGTTTCCGGAGAGCGGGGAGGCGAAGCGGT